TATTTATTAGTGATGCTCCGATACCACTTTAAGACCGAGTACCGATTTTTTTTTTTTTTCCAAGTACTTGCCGATACCAATTACCGCTACTTTTTCTTAAAGGGACAGGTCACATTTTTTCTAAAGCAATAAAAAAATCATGATTTTAGGTCAGTTTCTTAATATTGCGAAGAACATGAAATGTACACTAAATTAATATTTATCATGCCATTGCTAACTAAGGCTTGTATCCCCATAGTGGGGAAAATAGATGAGCACATGTCCAGACTCCAGAACACTGTATAATAGAGATATCTTGAGAGATATAGAGAGATATATCTATATCTTCTAATCTCAATAAAAAAAATGTTTTTTCTTTTGTAGGACTAATGGCTCCAGAAGCAAGGTAAAGTGCTGCAAAGTACACATGCGAGCATTATTTCAATCACAGCATAAATTCAGGTAAAATATCAATTCCTTTTTGTACATACCGTAACTTTTTTTTTTCTTAATCCTTTTCAGGAGACAAATAAGAAGATAAATCCTGGAGATGTTAAGGAAGAATAATATTTTTGTTATTTGTACATTTTCAGATCACCATAGAGAGAGAAAATATATATATATATATATAATCTCCTTCCTTTTTTTGTTCTCTTGTATCACTTTTTATATTACATTTTCTATAATGAATTATAATTGTATGTAACACAAGCCTTTAAAATCTCTTTGGCTGCATCACTATTAACACTGTTTTTTGTATTCTATTTTTAAAATTCTATTTTGCAAATTGGACTTTGAGGTTTTAATAGCCTATGGTGAGTCTGATTGGCTACCAGGTGAGTTCTACTGGTGAATTACCTGGCTTTTTTTCCCCCCCTTTGTGTATAACTTATACAGAACAATACTGGAGACCTTTTGATTGTATGTGGTTTCTTTTTTTTTTCATTGCTACTTAATGAAATAAGTGTAATATTTTTGGTGTTAAAGCCAGTTATGCAGGCACTAAGCAAGATGGCAGGATTTCTTTATTAAAGCACTCTCTTTCTCACTTTATTAAGTGAAAGAATTCCGCTAAGCACTTCTTGCATTCTATAGCTCCTAATATATTTTTAAAAAATGTAACAAGCCTTCCTGTGAGAAACATCTAAAAATATCACTGTGGTAAAGGCAGACTAGTGTGCTAACACGGCTATGTTGCTGTAATGTGTGGTGTATTTGTTTATTTTCCAAGTTTGTTTAAAAACAAATAAAATATTTCATACCTATTATTATTGTTTGTTTTTTTTTATAATTCTTTATTTTGTAAGAACACGAGCATCCATACAGTGACAGTGCACACAATTTGTCAAGAATACAGATCAAGGCTCTCATTAGGCAGTGCTAATAACATGTCTGATCGCATATGCATGGATTTCGTAACTTTTCCATTTAAGTAACAAATACAACATTAACAACAATAATAGGACATAATAGGCTTTGGACCCTAGCATTAGTAGGCGTTATGTGCTTCTCTCCGAGTCGCCCCCTGCATGGTTATGGCTCGGGAGTCCCCTCCCATCTCCACCCGATAATAGTATCATGGAGATCTGATCCCTTGGGTAGTTATCAGTGACTCCGTGTGCGGCTAACAGGGGCTTCCGCAATTAGTATTCTCACAACGACTGGTCAGAATGCACCTATCATGTTCCATTAATCAGTAGAACATAAGCACTAAAGACAAACACAGGGTAGTGACAGGCAGGTAGGTAGATATAGAAAGATAGGGGAAGGCTGTAGGTGAGGAAAAGAGAAAGTGGACCCTCTCCCATTGGGTTATCCATTTCCAAATGCTCAAGTCATCTGAGGGTCAGTTGGTGGATCCTGCTCAACGTGCACCTGGTATTCCGGGGAGAAGAAGAATTCCGTCCAGGGAGACCATACCTTGCAGAAAGTGTCATGTGTTTCTCTGGCTGACGCAATCAGATCCTCCATTCTCCAGATCTCGTTGACCTTCCCCAACCACATGCCCATCGTAGGGGGTCTTGTGCTCCGCCAGAGTATCGGAATACAGGCTTTCGCCGCATTAAGTAAGTGTGGCAGTACCGACTTCAGGTAAGCCCGTTTGGGTATCTCATTGTGATGCAAGAGGAAAAATGCCGGGGTCATTGACTATTATTGTTTTAATAAATGAATGCTGTGTTAAGAATTTTGGACAAGCAACTCTTGATGACAGCAGTGTGGGATTGATCATGATGCTAAATGGTTTCTTGAAGTTTAAGGGGTAATGGCAGATTAGCGATCTTATCACTGGCGGCAACTTGCCGGCGACAATAGCGCTAAATAAATACTTACCTGCCTCTACGGCATTACGTCCTCCCTTGCTGAAATGCAGCAGAATTTCCCTTACAGGGGTGGAGCAACAACTCGCTGGTCCAGCCAGTGGGGAAGTGACAACCTAGAAGCAGCATAGTATTTTCTTTGGCCTTGTAGCAACCTGTGGTAAGAAAGCCATTACTGTTGAAGTCAAGGCAAATGTTTTTTTTGTTTTTTTCTTTCTTTCTTTCAATGTAGAACCTTCACCTAATAATCTTTGTTCCTTACTATTTGACATTGCTACTCTTCAGACAGCATTCCTGATATTCTGGGGAATAAAGGATTTTTGTACTCTCTGTAAAATCATTTTCTTGGAGTCTATTGAAGGACACAAGAATTAACTGTCGGGAGGGCATACAGGAGGATTGAACAATGGCTAGCACACTGTAGGCCAGCCCAGGATAACCCCTCCCACTACCAGCATGTCTCAGTTTTGTATCAAAGCTGTACCAAGAGCATAATCATAAACACTGAGGTTGGACATGTGTCCCTCAATGTAAAAACCCTCTTTCTTGTTCATTAAGGGGCACAGGAAGTAATTAACTGTCGGGATGTTCTAAAGCAGTGCAACCAAGGGGTGGGCAACAGCCAATAAAATGTTAACAGTTCCACTAAAAAACAAAAGAATTGGGGGCTGTCTGCAGTTCAAAGAGCCACCTGAAGGACCCTAAATCCAAAGCTGCCATCGGATGAGGCATGAACATCCACTTGTTAGAACTTGGGAAACAAATAACTGTTTCCTAACAAATAACCAAGAGGCACTCACATCTAGTAGAGTGTGCCACAATGTTGATTGGAAGACGAGACTCCAACAACAAAGTCCCATGCACCCATAGGGTGTTCAGAACTCTTCTCCAGCCTAACAGTATCTTCCAAAACATGGGAAGGACAGAATTCCTGACTCCTGAGCTGGGTTTCTTGAATCATCAGGCCAGGGTCAACCTGGTCATCAGTGCCAGATGAACTGGCCTGGCCAGAGACTGGACTGACTTGTCCCACAATGACAGAATGTTGTTTTGAAGAGGTCTGTAGTGGAACTGGGTAAATGGGACTGGCTCAAATGAGGTTGCCATCAGCCCTAGGACTCCTAGACTGAATCGAATGAGTCTCCGGGTGGAGAATTTGAAGTTTCTATTGGGGAATGAAAATTTTGACTTGGGCTGTGTGCAGGACAAAACCCAGATACTTCAAGTGTTGAGTCTCTCTTCCATTTCATTCCATGATTTATTAAAGGTCCTGGACGGTCAAGGCTATGCTACACACCAAAACCTACACCGACTGTTCCCTCGACAAGAGGTCATCTAGGTATCCCATAGCACTGATAGCACAGTAGGGGGAGCAGTGTAGGAAGAGGGATGCAGAGGGTGAAGAAGTTAAGTGTTAGAAGAGGGTGGCAGCCTGCTCCCCTCTATCACTATTACCTTCTGCACACTTTTCAATACTTCCATCTTGCACTGTGCACCCCTTTCTTCTAAGCTGCTCACCCCTTGCAGCTTACCTGAGGGCCAGACTCCAACTCCTGCTGAAGACACACAGGACTGTGAGCAATGCAGAGACAGAGCTTAATCACAGGGCAGAGCCTAAGCAAGAGCAGATTGGACCCTGATTGGCCTGCCCAGCAAACGGCTCTGCCCACTCTACATGGTAACTATTTTTTGGACAGGCTCCTTTCCTCCTTCCACACACAGGGCTGGACACCTTTAGCGAAGAGCCTGTCCAGCAATATGTTGCTATGGCAAGTGGGTAGGACCATCCTTCTTCCCTAGGGGCAGCCCATGTCGGCTTCGGCCCCCTGCTGACTTGATGGGGCCCAGTACAACAATGCTGGCTGTACCCTCTTGATGGTGGCCCTGCTTCTGGGTTTTGGTGTCCGAGTTGTCTGTGCCATAGGTGGATACATTTGTTGTGTGGATTATTAGTGGCTGTTTTGACTTGTTCATCTACGGTGATGAGTCTGTACAGCTGTTCATCTAGTTTTCCTTTTGCAAGGATTTGCTTATTGTTTCGGATTGTACATTCATCCCCTCGAAATTGAACTGTGAGACCATTATTAGCAAAGGTTTGCACTGATAGAAGGCTTCCTTCTAGGTCTGGGACATAAAGTATGTTTTTCATGAGGATACTCTGCTTGTCCTGACAGTGTGATGCAGTTTAAGAATCCTTCCGCAGTAATACTTTCCTGTTTGCTAGGAACACTTTGTCCTTTGCACTGAAATCAATTTCTGTGAAGGTCTCATCACTAGTCATGTGACTTGTTGCGCCTGAGTCAATACACACCATCCATGTGGTAGACATTCCTGAGTCACTTTTAACACCTTCATGACTGAGCTTGTTTTCAATTTCTGTTCGTAAATGACTTTTTACATTTTTGCTGTGTGATTCTTCCACGTCAGTAATATGCTTTCTTACTAAATGTACCCACACATATTATATATTGTTTATATATTGTAGAAGTGAACACTTTTTTTTTTCACAAGTTATGATTTTTTTTTTTAATTTCTTTTATAATAAAGTATAAAAAATATATTTTTATTTTCCTAATTTTGTTTTACACTTTATTTTTTTACACTTTGTAAAGTAAAAAAAGTTTATATTAAGCAGTCACTATGACTGCTTGATAAATTTAACTTTTTGGCTATTATTAGGCTGCTCCAAGCTTAGAAACAGCTAATAATAACCTTTAGAGACTGATCCTGACAGCATGTCAGAATCAGATCTCACTAAGGCCTGGTTCACACCTGGGCGTTTTACAGCACGTTCCTACGCGCTGTAAAACGCTCAACATGTGAAAACCAATAATTGCCTATGGGCATGGTTCCCACCTGGGCGTTTTACAGCGCGAAGGAAAGCGCTGGAAAAACGCCCTACGCCCAAAGAAGTACAGGAGCTTCTTTGGGGCGTTTTTCCATTGGTATTCTCGAGTGTGGATCGGGGGGTGCAAGTGTTTAAAAGTGGGAACAAATTTTTTTTTTTAAAAGGAAAAAAAAAAAATCATACCGCCAGCGAAACGCGTTTCACAGAACGCAAGAACGTGCTAAAAAACGAGCTGAAAAAATACGCTCAGGGGTGAACCCAGACTAAAGGTTTCTGATCCTGCCTAGACTATCAGAAGTGATACATTTCAGGCACAGAGATACATTGTACCTGAAATGTATCACACAGCTTCATAAACATCGGGCTATCGGGCTGTCAAAACAAATAGCAGAGAGGTGAGTCACTCTGCTACCTCTCTGCTATTTTCAGCTGTCAAATACGGGATTGCTATTTTGCGCTCCTGTATTTGTATGTAACGGCTTCATTCTTTCATTAATGAAACTTGTACAGAAGCTTAACTATTTCATTATTGAAAGGTAACCGCTGAGAATCAGCAGTTACCGGCATTACAGATCCTTAAATAGCTTGTCACGTACAGTGTACGTGGCCAGTCATATAGGCACTTTGTGACGGGACGTAGAGTGTACGTCCCATCACGAAGGGGTTAAGGTAGCGCTTTATGATCTGCCTACAGTTTCATTGTAGATGCTTTAGCTCTTCCTCTTGTAGGTGCCTCTCGCTTTTGCTGTTTGGCTTTCCAGATTGGAACAGCCCTTTTTCAGGTGACCAGTCTTTTTACAGCGAAAACACACTGAGGGGAATTTATCAAAACTCGAGCAGAGAGAATCTGCAGCAGTTGCCCCTGGCAACCAATCAGCATCTCTCTTCAGTTTGCTCAGGTAAGATTTGAAAATGAGAGGGAGAAGCTGATTGGCTGCAGTGTAAGTCAGCTCCAGTTTTTTGATAAATTCCCCCCACTCTGTTTTCTTTTGCGCTCTCATTCACCTTTTAAGGGCTTTCTCATTTTCTTCATTGTGCAAATTTTCTTCGATTGTGCACTTATTCGATTAATTTTCATTTAATGTATTCTAGTGTTAGTTGCTGCTCAGGTCTGGTTTCTAGAGCGTTAATAAGAGCACTGTATGACTCTGGAAGGCAGTAATACTACCATGTGGTTATCTTTAATTTACTCTCCAATTGCATGATTTCCGTCATGGCATTCACATGTTCATGCATTTCCTGGCCTTTTTTCTAGTCTCATCTCATATAGCTTGCATAGCAGATATAATATACTGGTTAGGTTTCAACGCTCATGCAGTTTTTGTAATGCAGTCCACATACTTTTAGCTGTATTCTGTTTTCGGATGTGGATGAGCTGGTTGTCTTCCACTAGCAGACTTTTAATTGCTTTTGCTTGCCTGTTCTTCTTGTCCCATTCCTCCATGGGTCTGTCTGTACTCAGAACTTGCCACGAGTCATCTTTGCTTAGCAGCATTTCAAGCTTGCCATCTTTCAGTAGCTTGCATGCAGCACTTGTTGACTTGCAGTGTTCTGTTTAGTGTCTGGGCCCATAACCTGTTGGTTATGTGTTTAGATGAAGCACTGAGATCTTGAGGAATGCTGAATTAAGTTTTACTCGCTTAGCAGGACATTACATGTAGCGGATTCCTCTAAGTTGTGAGGTGGATCCTTCATGGATTGGACTTGTTTTTCTAGTGCATCCCACAGATACTCAATTGGACTGATATCTGGAGAATGTGGAGCACCATGACACCCCTTGAAACTGTTGTGTTCATCAAACCATTTTTTCATTGTGCATTATCCTGCTGAAAGAGGTCAAGGCCATCAGAGAATACCATTTCCAGGGGGTGGTAACTTGGTCAGTAACAATGTTTTAGATAGGTGGTAGATGTAAAAGTAACACATCCACATGAATGGCAGGACCCAAGGTTTCCCTAAGCAAAATACTGCCTCCACCTGCTTGCCTTCTTTCCATCTCTTTCCCAGGTAAGCGACACACACACACACACACACACACACACACACACACACACACACACACACACACACACCTGCCAGCCACATGATGTAAAGGAAAACATGATTCAAAGAGAAGGGAAGATTCAAAAGGCATGATACAGCACAACTGAAAATATCAATGCAGAGGTAAGTGCACAATTTCAATGCAGAGGTAATAGAATAACAGCAATGCAACATTACAAAGGTTACAAGGTAGGTATATAGGGCATTGTATTGTAGACCAATAATATGTGCATTGGGAGGGAAGGCAATGTCCCTATTGTAGAATTTGGCATTTAGCAATGTCAGCTTGACATCTACCCTTAATTATTGTGTGAAAAGTACTTGATCACAGAGGAAGTAATTTCTTTAACATGTGGCCTGACATCGTTTGCTGCGATGGATTCTGGTGCCCATTTTTGAGCGTGGAATGTCCACTGTGCGCTGACTCTGAGACGGAGATCTCTGTCCAACTTCTGATGGGACTAACGGGAATGTGAACCAGCAGCTACAGAAATCAGCAGTGTAAACAAGTCATACAAATGAAAGGGGTTCTTATTTCTAGCAGTTTGTTTTCCACTCTGAGGCCTATATTATGTGAGGAAAATATCACACAAGAAGGTGAGGACATTCAAAATCAGATGTTTATTCTTATGACACTTTTCCTTATCTAGTATGCTTCATTTGCACAGCAGTGGTTTAAATAGCAATACAGACGAGGGGAATGGCATTGAGTAAAAGGATCTGTTAAATGCAACCATAGATAACTTCAATAATAAATATACATCAACTGTACAGCACACTTCCAGGGCTCAAAAAGTAGATATGTTGCACATAAACCCATTGCTAAAGTGTATTTGTTTTGGTGGTCTGCTCTCCACCTTCAGGGTCATTGTAACGAGTCATGTTTGTGGCTTTGAGGCTGTGGCGCCTAGGGAAGCAGCTCTCCCCTTTCCTTGTATTGCATTTACTTCAGCCACCCCAGTGTCTTTATTACATTTGCCTCTCCTAGAAATAGGTTTTGAACTTGTAAAGTAGAGAAATGCATTTGTCTAATACAAACACTTTTGAAAGCAGATCTTTCCAGGTCAGCATCTGCTGTGAATCACAGTTGTGTCGCTGCACACCTTTTCTTTGCTGCTCAATAGTGCATCGAAATTGTTCAAATTACAATAACCAAATCACTCAAAAATAAAAAAAAATGAAGTTACAGAAGTTCGTGCTGGAGCTGTCAGGCAATGCCGCTTGACCATGGTGTCTGCAGTATCCTCTGCCCTGCCAGGAACTGTACTTTATTTGGTGACAGTTTAGCAAGCACTACTGATAACATTTGTCACAATGACAATAAAGGGTTGCTGCATAACTAGCAGGACACGAGTAGCGCTGTAGTAACCTACAACCTTGTCTAAGACTGGTTTAATGGCAAAGTACTTATTGTTGAACTACATAATTAACATAAAAGAACAAATGTTAAAAGTCGAGCAGCAACATACATTAGAAAGAATACTAATACTTTGAAGGAGGTACACCTAGACAAGTGCCACCTTTATATTTCATATTACTATAAGCAGGGTTATTAAGTAAGGCAGTGCAAAAAAAAAATCAATGATGTGAAAAGTGGATCTACCCAAAGTACCGGATTTTGGTTCACTGTAAACACATTGCTTAACATGAAATCTTAATGCCATGGGTACTACACCTTTCATCAACCATTACACTGCCTTAATGAAAACCACTCGTAGGGGTGATCTCTGCAGAGATACGGTGTGGCTCTGTAAACTATGTCATTACAATCATATTCATGTCCACTCATCACTGCTAGCCTGTGGGAGCCAAGTGTCACTGCATAGTTAGTACTGTTATTGTCAGTGCAATTATTACTTGATATGGAAACTGAGCCCCGTGTTGGGTGTCCGGTGGGGTTTTCTGCCACATCAGAACCACCAGTTAAAAAGCTGCAGTGGACTGAGGTTTGAGAGTTGACATCGTCCTGCCCAGAACCTTTCGTTAAATTTAGACCAAAGAAAGGGTCAATATGACTGCAACCATCATGTAAGTTCCTTCTGGCCGTATAAAAAGAACTTCTCTGGACACTAGATAGATCGCTAATAAGGCTAGGGATGTGAAAAGAATCACTTTGTAGTGTTTCCATTGGCGCCAGTGTTTCTAATGTGTAGCATACTTCTGGTAAATTTATTAGAGTAGATGGGCAAAATAATGACAAAAAAAAACATTTTTGTCCTCTTTGGAAAAACTGTTATGGGTCCAACAAGCCATTATTGTTTTGCAGGGTTTTCATGACCTACAAGTCACCAGAGGGCAACACTTGCATGCATATCTTTTACATTAGTAAGTTGTGTGCTCCATTATCTTGCAGCTAAAAGGACAACCTGACATCCACTCCTATGACATCACTCTGTGCTGTGTATGGCCCAAGCCCTTCCTGAATACAGTGCATTATGGAACTGTATGTGCTCAACCCCTTCCGAGTCTCACTGACATAAGGCCACAGATTCAAGTTCTTCAGTGAATATTCAGTCTTTGCTGGACCTATCACAGCCTGTGTAACTAAGTTGAGGTGGGGGGGAAAAAAAAAACCCAATAAAAAGAACAAAAAATCTCCCCCCAAAAAACAAAAATCCCCAAAACCTGTTCCGCTCACATCCATAGATACTCCTAAATACTGAGAAATAAACAGCCCAAGTATGGAGCTATTCACAGCCAGCAAAATCCAGTGCTTGGTAAAACAATTACAACTTAAATACTACTTTGAAAAATAAAAAAAATAAAAAAATAAGAATCTTTTTTTCACAGCTCTAGCTCCAGTGTGTTACATTCGTGAACTCTGGAAATAATTTATCATTAAATTATATTACTGTGTATATTCTTATTTACAGATCCCATTGTTTGAATAATTTCCTGTTCCTCCAGAAATACCTGTTGACGCCATCACTTACCTCAAACCTTACGAGTTCCCAAGACTTTACTGTTAGCTTTTGAAGAGAAAAATCAATTTGTCCGCTCACATTAATCAGTACTAAAGTTTTTTTTCTACAAACAATTCACAAACAAGGCAAAAACCCCACCAGAGACTTCACAAATACAAAAGGTAAATGTGCAGGTTTGGGCAGAACAAAACCATAATGTTCAGTAGTCTTGTTTCCTCAGAGTTCTGTCCAGGGGGCAAGCAATTTCTAGTAGCCAAGTTCCAGTCCTCCGATCATTCACCGTCTCCTCTGCCTGTCGTCTGATTATGGTCAACCACTGAGTGGATCTTCTCGATAATGGATGGCGTGCCTCAGTTTCTCCAGCATTATTTCAAGGGAGGAGTATTGTGGGAGCTTTATCATGAACATGCACGTCTCCACACGGATGTATCTGGAATCCGGGGATCCTGTAAAAGTGTTCAGCAGAAATTTAAGTGGACCTGTACCCAAATGGTAAAGTCTTGCTCAAATGGAAAAAGCAAGTGTAACTGAAAGGCTAAAATACTTCTCTTTACTGAAGACACTGCTGCTCCAGATTTCCTTCAGTGTACACACAATGAAAAGTCTAGGCATAAAGACAAGGATCAGATGGGCTGGTCCTACCCTTCAGAGATCACGTGACCATATGCCCAGGCTTTTGCTTACATGATCTGTGATAAAGCTGCAGTACTGATCTTTGTACTAAAAATCCTTTATGTCATATAGTTTAATATTAAGCAACCTGTAGTTATACTGCCACCTACAGGAGAAACGGACACTAGACAAATACAAAAAAAAGGCCGACTTCCTTAAAGGAGAACTATGAGGTGAGTGCTTTTCACTCACCTCATAGTTCTAGCCAACCTGTGACAATGAGACTGTCACAGGTCGGCTCAGTAGATCGGGAGGTGAGCGAACATATACCGGCGTTCGCTCACCTCTCGATCCCGTCACGGCTCTCTGCAGTGACGGGGAGGGGCTGGATTCCCCCCTCCGATCCGCCAGCGCTGACTAGTGGATCGGACGGGGGAGGGGGCAGGTACAGCTGGCTCTGCCTCTAGATAGGCAGAGCCAGCTGTCACTCACGCAGCTGGGCGGATCTCGACATCGATGTCGGGATCCGCTCCGGCGTCTCAGTATAACGCGAGCTGTAGCTCACGGTATACTGAGCTTAGGGTGATGGGAGGACGCTAGTTTGTGTCCTCCCGTTACCCTAAGGAGAACTATGGGGAAAAGCCCTGACCCCATAGTTCTCCTTTAAGTCTATAACCACTCACACCTACTTAGTTGTAACAAGCAGTCCTAAGAGAGAATGATAGCATATGAGGATTTAATAGAGTCCTTTGCTAACTGGAACACAGACAGGTTGTCACTGCCAACTGCAGCACAGCAGGGAGAACACCAGCATACTGAATTAACTGGGAAAAGAAGAATTTGTTGGCTAACAGGACAGACTTTCAGGATTTCCAATATCTGGCCTGAATCTATCAGTAGCTTCAAACTCGGTCAAACAATATAGCAGAAGAGAAAAAATGAAATGAAACTGAGCAGGGGTGAAGTCGGAGGGGTGATGACCTCAAGGGGGCTGGCCTACATTTTTAATGCGCCTTGTGTCCATTTCTCCTATAGGTGGCAGTATAACCCTAGGGTGCTTACTAGCAAGCTCAATAAACGATAAAGGTAAATATTTAAGCCTTATCCTGATGCATAGTTTGCAGTAACATCTCCGTATGGGCCAGCTTTCAAGCTAAACCTATAGTAAGGAAATATTGATGCTGCCACTGCTGGCCTCTCTTCCTGAAAATGCTAGCTGTCTGGTAGTCATTCTGATCCGGTGGCTTTAGCACTTTCTGAGCAACTGGTCTGAGCAGATTTGAATTAACTGGCTACTTGTTCTCAGAAATTACTAGAGCCAGAGACAGCCTGGTAGTTAGTATTACTGAAAGGAGAGAACAATGGAAGTCCCTGTATTTCTCTCAGCACAAGTTGACTTTAATGAAGAACTCCAATTGCCTTCTAACAGAATATTATACTATAAAATAGACAATTAGTTGCGCTAAGAAAGATGTAAATGGTCACCAGCTGCAACAATGTATGTGGAAATCGTCTAATGAATATTAAACTAATCTTTGCATTGAGAGGTGCACAGTCCCAGCATGCCGAGATGAAGTAACTCCCGTGCACATGCCCGGGAATTAGGCCTGACCAATTAAAGCAGTCCAATACTCCAAACCCGGAAGACGACTGCGAAGAAGAATGCTGCGCAGGTGAGGGAGGAGAGCAGCGCTGGGAGTGGGTTTGGTAAGTCTGCCATCATGTGCCAAGATGCTGTGCAAGCTAGCACAATATGGCTAAAAGCTCCAGGGCCACTCCCCCTTTTTTACAATTTTGTATTTTATATTACTTTACTTCCGCTTTCAGGTAGCGCACCAAGTTCACATATAGTATTCTGAATCTTGTTCCCATATATGTCTACAAACTCAAACTATACTTGGTGCCCGAAGAGCGCACTTCTGTACAGATGGACAGCCCACATTTGGTTGTACCTTTTTAAAAAATATTTATTGTGTGCAGCTTAACCCCTTCATGACTGAGCTTGTTTTTAGTTTCTTTTGTTAATAACCGACACATTTTTGCTGTGTGATTCTTCCACGTCAGTAATATACTTTCTTACTAAGTGCGCCCATATAATATATTGTTTTTTAGAGGACAGATAGGTACACTTATGTAATATAAATATATTGCCATAAAGCCTCACTATGGACAAATAAAATACTAAGATTGAGGAAAACAGAAAACACTTTTTCCCCAGTTTTGATTTGTAGCATTTTTTTTGAAAATAGCACAGCTAAAAAAAAACATTCATTAATTCGTCCTTTATTTGGAAAAACCTTACATCCCTAGGATTTTGGACATTTTTCTGCACTTTTCTGTACTAAAAAAAAAACATTAACCCCTTGGGGTGAAAAACAAATCTGCAGCTCAGCTGCAGATTTTCATGGTAATGGGTTAATTTTGTATTTTTTTTATTAATGATAGTATAAAAGTATATTTAAATATATCAGTTTTATTTGTTACATTTATTTTTTTAACTCTTAACTCAATACTGAGGCATCCATTAACGAAGGTAACCGATGATTCTCTGCGATTACCAGCATTACAGAAACCCAAATAGCTGATCACGTACAGTGTATGTGAGCAGTCATTTGGGCACTTTGTGGCGGGACATACAGTGTACTTCTCATGTCACGAAGGGGTTAAAGCGTAACTTCACCTAAAAATACAGTATAAATAAACTGCAATTATTTCCAATATAAATGTCCGCCTTCATTTTGTACCAATAGATATCCCTCTCTGCTTGTATAAATGGTCTTCATGGTAGTTCTAGACAACAAGGGCTGTTCCTAGACCATCCACAACCAAACGCACAGCTGCATAAATCCAGGTTTACCCTGTATAGTTACAATCTATAGATTTTGTATCTTTTTTTTTTAAAGATTGATAAGCTAACAGAGTCATATCCCCTACCGAGCCTTACAACTCTAGATATTTTACCTGTTGCTCCATCAGGTGGTGCTATTTTCATGGGGTAAGGCGGGACGTGTGCAGTGTCGGGTCCCCCATCTTTACAAGGACACGTGAAGGGAATACGCTCCTGATTGCAAGCAAATTTGATGAACTTACAAAGTTCTTCCTGAGTGAACATTTCCAAAGCACACCAGAAATACTCTATATGCTGGTCCGTCTCCATCAGACCCACTTGGTACATTGTGTGAGCCTGCAGGACAATAAATGGCAGTTAAGAAAGATGTAGTGGTTTTTGTACATTTCCTATTAAGAAAATAAGTGAAAAAAAACCCAAAACACACTGGCGCCAGAAAAACGCGACAAATCTCAACCCAGCTTCAAACACTCTGGGGCAGCTCCTCACAGTCAGGGCAAACCGATGATCTAGGAACAAAGCAAAAGGAGCGCCTCCATAGTGTAAAACAGATTTAATAAAAGGTAAAATACAGCTGGAAGTGTACTTGCAAACAACCTTTAAAAAACGAGCATTGAATGTGACAATCTCAAGTATATCAAGATGGACAAACGAAAAAATGAAGTGGAAAATTGGAACCTAGAGGAGTGATTTTCAGGTTCTGATGAAAGGGGTTTCACCTCTCAAACGCGTCAACCGGAGGAAGATCAGTGTCCAGATGGCTTGGCTTAAGCACTTACTCTTCCGATTTTCCACTTCATTTTTCCGTTTGTCCATCTTAATCTACTTTAGATCGTCACATTCAATGCTCGTTTTTAACAGTTGTTTGGAAGTAGACTTCCAGCTGTATTTTACCTTTATTAAATCTGTTTTACACTATGGAGGCGCTCCTTTTGCTTTGTTCCATTTCTTATTAAGGTTAGGACAACAATTGGTATATATGAACTATCACATACAAATATCTTGTATTTTTTGTGACAGCTCTCATCTCCCCAAGTTAAAATGTTATCTCTACGCAGCCTACTGATAAATGTTTGTTAGATCAGAGCTCCGTAGCTTAACTTGCAGTTTACACCCAGAACTTGAGTGACCCTTCTCATTAACTCCATCAGTTGGTGGTTCAATCTGAAGTTTCAATCAGGCAAAGCATGCCTCAAGGCAGGCAGTTACGGCTGTACTATTTAGCTAACCCATAGTGCTATGAGAATCCCAACAGTTACTTTAGAATGCAGGTGTATTGCTTAATCTCTTATACCTTCAAAAACTCCAGGTTGATAAATGGCAGCCCACAGGTTCTTAGCTCCATCTCCAAAGCTGTCAGGCTGGAGAGAAGTTGCAGAGGGATAATGGAGCCCAGCCCACTTCGTACTGCGTTCATACACTCCTGATTCCTTAGCTCGCGCATGCGCAGGTTACGAATACCTGCTGCATATATGTCCTTGTTTTCCCAGCTTTAAAAAAAAAAAAAACACAACCTTTACACACAGTTTACAAAGCCCTCTTTATTTACAAAATGCAAACTCAGAAACTAATCCAAATATTCTGTCTGAGAGGAAAAGTAGATTTCATTGTGCTGCATGAACTTTTGTCTTTTTTTTATACTTCTAATGCAATGCAATAACCAAATGTGTGACCCAGTCTTCATTTGCCCTTACCTCTGCTTCAAAGTAAAAGGGGAATGCCAGGCACCGAAATCTATATAAATTCTTAAAGGATAATACTCTTTAAATCAAAAAGTTACCTCTGGTCAGGAGTGGTAAACACACAGATCGGTCCTGTTTATTGTACAATTCATATTGTCGGAAGCTGTGTATTTTGTGAATGGTTTATAAAATATAAGGTGTGCTATGAATGGTCAAGGGGCAAGGAGGGGCAGACAAACAACACCAATTCTTTCATGTATGAGAGTCGCAGCTTTAAAAGCTGCATTGAATAAAAGTACAGCACTGGCTGTAGTATCCGGCATAAACAAATTAATGGTAAACAGGAACAATTTGCACATTTAACACACACCTCACCAAAGGTAACTTTTTTTTTTCCCCTCAAGGAATTAATATAGAAGTCTGTATCCAGAGTTCCACTTTAACTGTTCTCTTGTATAAGGTTCATTTTTATGGAGAAAGCAAAACATTATTATTCAGGAATCATTTTTATGGAAACCTATATTGGTCAAGCTTGACTCAGTTTAAGTATCTATATCTGATATCCTGAGGGTCGCTGGGGATGGTGAAAATCAATGGATAGTCTGGGCTGCATTTAGTGACAGCCAGTATCTTTCAACTGCGGCGCCAGAGGTTTCCTCTCTCTACACTAAGCGTTGAGTCATTCCCTCAACACCTCCACCATTAAGAGGGTACCTTGAATTTTTTATTTAATGAATACAAGGTGTTTTCTGATTGGATGAGGTGGAGAGGAGGGGCAGATGACATCATTATCTCCACCTTGGTAATTCAGAGAACAACTTGTATTCACTTAAAAAAAAAAAAGGCAACAAGGCATTCTCTGAATGGTGGCAATGCTGAAGAAGCGACTCCCTGTGTTTAGTTCTGCTTTAATATATTCAGGAGTGTAACTGCCAGGAGGTCTCCGTCTGTGTAAGAGAGCTGCTGTTACCATTTCTGCACTTATCACTAGCAGCATTTAATGCAAGCTACAATCTATAGGTTTTGCATCTGTCAACAGTAGCTAATTACTAGGGATGCACCGATACTAGTACCATACTTGCCAAAATGCTCCTGATACTAATCCTGATACTGGAACTTCTGGTATCAGGAAGCCAAGTGGCGAGTCATCAGGGAGCATCGAGCTTGCTTCCCGGCCAATCAGGAAGCCAGGCGGAGAGTAATTACCTGTCCCCCGGCTTCCTGATCGGCCAGAAAGCCAGCTCCATGCTTCCTTGTCACGAGGGAGCATGGAGCCGGCTCCCCGGCTAATCAGGAAGTCGGGCAGCGAGTCATTACACGCCGTCCGGCTTTCTTAATGGGACTTTCGCTATTTGGTATTGGCAAGTACTGGAAAAAAAACAATGATACTCACACTCTATACCGAAAAAACGGTATCGGTGCATCCCTACTAATTACAATATATCTATTTTTTACACTGTTCTCAGCCACAGCAAGCCTTTGGCCCCTTTCAGATGGGTGGTCGGATCAGGTCCGCCTGTCAGTTTTTCAGGTGGACCCGATGTAAGTCTATGGGTAGCCGGATCTAAAAGGATGGGTGTACATTTACATCCAGTTGGACTCCGGCCAGGTGGGAAATAAAAACAAATTTCCAGACTGGATCATGTCGTGTCAGACTGGTGGTACTCTGATGTCCATTTACATCCGATTTCCCATAGACCGACATGGGGTCCGGTCATTTCAGTTTTTTCCTTGATGGAGGGCAAAAACTGGACAGACACGATGTCACAGCGGTGACAGCCCATCCGAACCACTCCGATCAGGAGGGGATCTGTGCACAGATCCCCCTCCTGATCGGACAGTGTGAATGAGGGCTTAGGCCCCATTCACACTGAGCGATTTTTGCAGCGATATCGCTCATATTTCCACACGATATCGCTCTATGTAGCTTCTCCAATCCATTTCAATGGAGCTGTTCACATCTCGTCGCTCAATATCGCTTGTAGCTCGTCGCTCCTACATGACCCTTTTTTCGAGCGATTTTGCTCCTGATTGCATACAGCCCAATAGGAAGAAGTCGCGCAATATCGCTCAAAATCACGCGATTTTCATGTCGCTCAGTGTGAATGGGGCCTTAAAGTCAAAGTTGTTTTTTTTTACATAAAAGCCTTGCAATTTAACTCCTAATTAACCAATGCTAACCCAATCTTGCTAACAATCCCTTTCTTATATTTACCACTTGTAAGAGAAAAGTTATTTCACACAATTTTGTCTCTCATTCATTTTTGGTAGTGTTAAATACAGCTAAAATATAAAACTGTTCTCATTTGTAATATAAAACTGTTCTCATTTGTAATATGGGTTATACAGGTGGACGAGACTAGGTTTATTATTGCATATTACCTGTAGGAATATCATAGAATTTTCCTTATTTACCAGTGCTATCCCCTTCACACTGAACACTTAAATACTTTCATGTGTGTGATCACTTACTGAGATAATGAGGCAAAACGTTTGGTTTTAGTCCATATAAGATTCCACTTTTATGATATGGTCACAGATGCATTCAAAGAGTACTATGCACTGTGACACAGGTACATTGATCTTAATACAGTGTTCCATTCTTCATACTTACACCACAGGTATGTGTCTGCCATTCGGACAGAGTTCCACCTCCTCCCCTGTCATGGTTAAAAATGTAAATGTACAGCTGGGTTTGTTGGGGGAGTCAGGGCTCTCGCTGGAAAGATGCTGCGAGCCTATTTCAGCACAAAGTGCTTCCAGCTCAGTTTCATCATTTACCTAAAGAAAGATAAAACAGCAGCTATGGTAAAAGATGCTCATTGCCTTGACTGCACGCACACAGATGACCCTTTACTTATAAACAATTGCGGTTATTTCGTTTAAACACTATAAAACTATTCATAACTAGCAATACATGTCTGCTATCTAGAGAGGGTTCCAGGATTTAACAGTATTCGGCATTAATACACTAGCAGCATTTGATTTTCAAATCTTCTCAAAGAAACAAAATGAACTAAAATAATAAAGCAGAAGATAATGAGACATCCATTCTCCAGAGGACACTAAGCGAAACTGGCAGGTGTGAAGTGGGAGGGGCTTTGTCCCTTAAAGTGGCAGGCTTTTACATTTTTTGCTGTGTCCAATTCTCCTGGTGGCAGCAGCATAACCCTATATTTCAGAGTTCTTCAAGAGCTGCGTCTCTCAATGGACTATGAAGAAAAGCTGTTTACCTGATCTCTACTTCAGCTGGCTCCCTCCGGGTTCAAAGACTGGTCCCCGTAGCCACTTCAGCCATTTGCTCCAACAGTCCAAGGACCGCTCACGTCATCATGTCCAATGCAGGTTTCGTAACACCTGCATTCGACATGAGGAAACTGAGGGACATTCCAGCAGGTGGAGAATGGGAAAAGAGGAGAGCGCTAAATGCTGGGGAAGCGGGGATCAGGTAAGTAAAGTGCTTTGCTCATGTATTCCTAGGGAATCGGAGTACTTAACCCTTGCAGTGTGGGGGTAGGCCCACTGTAAAGGTATTTTTTTGGTTTGCCTGGAGATGGAACACGCTGTAAAATGCCCAGGTGTGAACCAGGCCTTAAGCTAACCTGCACTGAGAGAAGTTTACCAGCCACCACTACTGACCTTGCAGGAAACGTTATCTCTGGGTGTTATGGTTTGTGTGAAGTCAAAACACACGCTCTTCATACTTATTTCCATATTGATGATTCAGAAAAGCACTGAAACTACTGAATAAGCATGACAGCCAAGAAGTAAATATTTTTACATGCAAAAGTGTCAGACTCCATATATCTTCATGGATTCCATGTCTTTGCCACAGGATCCTATAGAACTGTAACAGAAATATTGTCTTTCATACTGTATAATGTCCTCTCCCTTGCTTTCCTTACTCACACATACCCTAGAACTGAACACTTTATCTTGGGTTAGAATGTCTTATTTACTCCTAATTTACATTAAAAATACAGTAAAAACAAAACATATTTACATTTTCAAACTTCTTGATGTAGTTGTAGGTTAGAATGTCAGCCTCATAGAGATCTGCCTCAAGATCCAGAGGCTCGCCTACAAGCATCTTCCAAAAACATGGTAGTAGATCCAGTGGAAGCGGTACGTCTGCTCGAATAGCTATACCCAGTAACTGACCAAAGAAATGAAGCAACTGCTCCTCTGAATAGGTTATAGGGCTTGGTGTCAGAAGGTACTTCCCCTGTGGAAAAACACCAGCATTACACAATGAAATACCACTAACAAGAGACAAATCTTGACCAACATTTCTCTGTGGGGAAACTTGTACCAGCATGTCTGTTAAAGTGGAACCCCAGACAAAAATGTATTTTTTCTAGAGTAGGGAGGATCACCAATGTAGTCGGAGTTTTACTGCTATATGCCTGTTCTGATGTCATGACAAATGAAAAAATATCTACATTATAGCAACTTATTCCTTTTGCATATTTTACAGAAAATGCTGCTAAATATTTCATTTATAACCATCTCACCAGCGTATGAGTGAGCAAAAGCTGTCCCCTGAAAACCTGTTATTATGCTTCTATTTTGGAATATTCACAGCACAGACAAGACAGAAGTCAGGCTGTCAAAGTCAGCCCACACCAATAACAGTTATGTGTCACTGCATAAGTCAGCCACCAGGGTTAAAGATGGAGATCAGTTTGGCATATCAGAGAGGGTACTGTTTCACATGCTTGGGCTGCACATTTTCAGAAAAGCAGGAGCTTATTTGAAATAGCCGATGGAGCAAAGAATGAAGGCACCACTATGTTTACATGCTAAAGGGATGAAAGATTCACTTTAATGGAGGAAAAAATAACAGCTCTGACAACTGTCCCCAGGACTGGTGCCCAACTCACCACCTGTCCCAGTAGCTACTGTACAAAACAAGATTTACCCTCATTAGTCACTGGCACAGGAATGGGAACAATGTGATAGAGGTTCTAATCCTCCATCATTCAATTCAAATCTACAAAATAAAGGGTTTAGATTGTTACTAAACTCTGCAAACTCGACTCCTCTGCTTAATGCAGCAAAGAAAAGACTGATGGCAATTTTAGAAAACACCCGTCACTATGATACTGACTGACATATTATCATGCCTTCACATTTTTTACCCTGGAGGAAGCATTATCTAATTCTGAGTGGTCCTATGCACGCGGACTGCTGGCGCTGGTTTGAGTGGGCACACAACATTTGAGTACTGTAAAGAACTCGTCCTGTCCTGACATCTGTCCTGGGAGGTGCCGAGGACCTCTTCCAAAAGGCAGTGGCAAGGGGTGACATAGCAAAAATAGGATTTTGTACTCACCGTAAAATCCTTTTCTCTCCGTTCATTGAAGGACACAGGCAACAGATCGTAGATCCTGAATGGTAGGGTAATATCGCCACCTGCAGGAGAAGGACGCTAGGCACAAAACTAAAGACCAATTACAGCCTAGGGGCGGCCCCTGCCGGTGGCCAAACCCCCCACCTGCTGACAAGTCTCCAGTTTAGTAACAAGCAGTTAGGAGTGTACACCCCATAAAGAGGGCGGGGCCTGTGTCCTTCAATGAACGGAGAGAAAAGGATTTTACGGTGAGTACAAAATCCTATTTTCTCTCCCGTTCATTGAAGGACACAGGCAACAGATCGTAGATCCTGAATGGTAGGGACGTCACCAAGCAGTAACACACTGAGGGATGGGCAACAGTTGCAGGGAAGCCCCATACAGTATTTAAAAGAGCTTGTCTAGTATTTTGATAAACCTTTCTTCTGGAGCTGCAGCCCTGTAGTACATCATAACTGGATGAAAAAGAATGACTGCACAACCTGCAGCCAATGCTGCTGTAAATGCTGTAAATGAAGCATGTCTGCATAACAGGACCACAAATTAGTGACTTCTTACCTTATTCTTATTGACCGCAGAGCTGGGACAAAGCAGAAGGAGAGAGAGGGATAAGCTCTGGAGTTCTTTACACACTTGCCACAGAAAATGTCGGAAAGAGCCACCTGAAAACAACAATTAATAACGTTACAAACACTTACATGAATAACCCAAGTCAGTATTCTCCTAAATATGATCTAAAGCTTTCAGGGTTGTTTACCAAAGGGTGAAGATTTTGGAGAAGGCAGAAGTGAACAATCTAGGACAACATAGCCAATTTGGAAAAATTCTCCAGATCAGTTATGTTACATAGTTACATAGTATTTGAGGTTGAATAAAGACATTAATCCATCAAGTCCAACCTATTAGGATAGATGTTGTCCTAGATTGTTCACTTCTTCTGGCTTCTCCAAACTCTTCCCCCTTCTGTGAATCACCCAGTTTGTGATACAGTGAAACACTGACCAAATTGCTCAGCGTATTTATGAGCCTGAACTGTGGTGACCACAATGAAGTCCGCATGTTCGTTATACAGCTCCAGCTGTAAATCTGTACAAAACACACAGTATAACACCCGTGTGAAATAACCAGTGATAGCGCTCTAATATTAGATTCTTCAAAAAGGAAATCTTACAAAGCTGGAAAGCATTGGTCACCTAATATTAAAAAAAGCTGTGATGTGAAAGAATGTCATATTCAGTAGGTTCGCTGTATAGGACAAAGGATGCTAAAAACTGACAGTATCATGTGGTGCACTGCACACTACAATGGTGATGAGCATTGTACTCTGCACAGAGTTAATTCTGCTGCAGCCCTGTATAATGAGGAAACTATCTGGCCACTTACTTGTTCCATGTACTTCTTCCCCAGTAAAACGGATATTGAATGCATAAGTAGGATCCCCTCCACTTGCCAGTTTGACACACAGCTGGGAGGAGGGAACACAGGCCAGCTGCCGAGCTGCTTGGCAGAAGTAAGAGTTCTCGGAGGTCCTAATTTCACCTGGAAGCAAATAACAAAACGGAACATGAAAAAGCATTTATGAATCTTGTCAAATCAAGCAAACCATGTTTGATGTGCTGTGTTAAGATAACAATAAAAGCGCAATAGGACTTGGATTATATAACAGAACTATTAACTAAACGTACAGTTGCCTGTTTAAAACTGGTCATAAATGAGGAGATCTAATAAACTCTTTCCAAGGGGATATCAATTTCCCACCCAACATGCACAATGATTATTCCATATGCATCAGACAGACAAGCTCATGGAAATTACAGCTTATCCCTGCTGTCCACAAAGAACAACATCCATTGACCAAAATGATCCAACCTGAAATACTTTACCATTCTGGGGGCAAGGTATTCTGTTCCAACTGCTTGTATACTTCCGATGATGCAGTGATCAGCAGGATGTAGGTCAGTGGGAGTACAACAAATTCTCTTTTCTTATGATCATCCAAAAAAGCAAAACTGGACATATGCTCCAGGCAGTAAGGAGGAACATGGGCCTTATATATAGCCAGGGGTGGTTAAAATGGAGGAGAGTTCAGGTTTCTCATTCTTGTGATAAGAGTTCTACCTCCAAGGACAAGGTATATATCACATTTTATGTCTGTATTCACTTGGGCAGCCTAGCAGGTGTATGAACAGCCGGCCTCTTATAAAGTTAGAAGTGATTGCATGTTTCTTGACATATACTGTATATCTATGGGTCAGGTTATGAGAATCCCAAATGCTGGCC